AAAAAAAAAAAAAAAAAAAAAAAACTCAAAAGTTTCATAATTAATGTTAAGAAACAAATTACAACATTTACATAAAGAAGTAAAATTCCAGTTTGGTGTCACAAAATAATAATAATAATAATAATAATAATAATAATAATAATAATAATAAATAAATAAATAAATAAATAAATAAATAATAGTATTCATATGGCGCAATATGCAGCGCACATAATTTTTTGCACGATTACCATGTATATGATAGAATTTGCATTTGTATTCGACTATTCGTTAACATGCGCACGAAAATAAAACGTTGTTCAAACTTCTACTTGTTGTCTTTCTTTTATTCATTCACAAAGACAAAATAGGACAGCAATTCCACAAAACTTTATTATTATACAGTCCAAAAAATCTTCCTACCAAATAAAATATTGTCGTCAAATTGTATAATGTGGGCTGATGGGAGAATGCTACAATCCCGTTATGAGATGGTTCCGTTGTGTTTTCTAGCCATAGATTTACATGTAATCTAGTGATGGGTAATTAATCCAACACTTAAAAACACAACGGAACCATCCCGTAACGGGATGGTAGCATTCTCCAATATGATGATATATTTGTTAAAACAGGAAGATTGACAGTTCATTTTATTAGATGGTAGGTTTATTTGTTGTATATAGAAGGTTGGCTCTACTATGGAGCCAACTGTTGGCTTCATAGCAAAACCGTCATATAAGTAGGGCTGCTCATTTGGTTAAAACGGAACCGAATCGACCGAATTTTTAGTGCAAATTATTGCTTGAACAATTTTGGGAGTCAATGAAGCTTGAAAATCATCAATCATTGAAGCAAATTAATGCTTTTATAACTTATATATAAATAAAAAAAATATGTATATATATGTATAAATCGATTTTCGGTTTGGTTCGGTTAACCGATCATAATTATCCAAACCGAACCGAAAACCAAAATTTTATGAAAATGTAAACCGAATCATAATTATCCAAACAGGTTTTGGTTTCGGTCCAAATCGAATTTTCGGTTTCAGTCGATTCGGCTCGGTTAACCGAACTTTGTGCACTCCTACGCGATTGACTAAAATTTCATTATGCAATTTTATATAATTTTTTTCATTCACTAACATTATTTACATTAAAAATTATACAATTTACAATTCTCTAGTCACTTTTAATTTTTCAGTGTACCAAACAAATTATAAAAATATTATATAAATTTCGAAAAAAAAATGTTTCAATAATATAAAAATATTTGGAAAAAAAATACATAATTTAATAGAATTCCAGAATATAACAAGACAAAAAGTATTTTATTGGGGTGTAGTTAATTGAAAATCTTAAATACTTTTTAAAGTAAAGTAATTTCGGTGAACTTTGTAAAATTTTAATCACTTTTGTGGATATTATGGAATTTTCATAAAATGCGAAAGACTTTTTTAACTTTTGTAATGTACTTTTTGAAACTTATTAAAACTTTTATACACTTATAATATATAATTATTATGTTTTAAAGAAATTTTACTGAAATTTGCGCATTACAATTTTTGAAAATAAATTCAAGCTAGATTATATATAAATATTAATCTAAAACGAGTTTTGATAGTAAATACTAGCTCTTCAACGATAAGATTTTTTTTTTTTTTTTTTTTTTTGTTTTTTTTTGCAGCATTACAGTCGTGCAAGTGAAAATATATAAATCCTCTAAAATATTGTGAATCAACCATAGAATTAGTACTCAAATTGAGTTATTCCCGAACACTACTTGGTTCTGTTCGTGTAAGACTCGTTTGTTTTCTTAAATGAACCAAGCTTGGACAAATGATCGAGCTTGTTTATTATATTAAACAAACTGAAGTGAGTTTGTTCACGAACTATTTCTTTTTAATGTTGTATTATTTTTTATAAAATACATAACCTTGTCGAACTTGTTTGCAAAATTATTTTGTTTTTGTGAACTACTCGTTTCGAATTTTAAAGTTTATTAAACAATCCAAGCCGATTCAAGTTTCATGAGTTTCAATGAGTCGAACTCGAGTTGAGTCTTATGTCCGTTTATTAAACAATCACAAACCCATAAACATGAATTGACCATCTCGGCTGGAATGACAAAACACATCAATTAGTCATGACATAATTGGCTTTGTTCCATTGGATTATTTCTAAGGTAAATTTCGAAGGTGAGTTTTTTGTAAACTTTTTTTTGTTGGAAAATTTGCAATCAATGCAAAGAAATATATTGTTATAGTTTTATATTTTGATATTGGCATTTTTCAATGTATAAATTTTAATTAAAATATTTATTGAATTTTCTTTAAATAAAATGTTCTTACGTTAGATTTTTTCACATAGAAATATGATTTTTGGTAGTAAATACAAATAGTTGAATAATTTTATACTTTTATAATGGAATAGTCCACACAAGTAAAATTCAATAAATACATAAAATGTTTAAAAAATGAAGACACATTCAATTCAAAGTTAATAATTAAAAAAAAAAAAAAA